AGAGAGAGAGAAAAACACACGGATAGACAAAAAGAAACAAATAATCTTAGACTAAAACTACTCTTAATGTTTGGGATATTTTCCAGTTACAAAATCAGTAACTTAAACTGAATGAGGGCCAAAATACTTGCTGTAATTACCGTCCATCCTATCATTTGTAATTATGGGTGAAAATTACTTGTCAATGTCACACAATATCGTATAACTTCGTATAATGTATGCTGTACGAAGTTATTACGCTCACTCTCAAGTATTAATATTATTCTCTGATAGTTGACATTTTTGTTAACCATTTTTGTTAATTATCAAAAGAAAACAGTATACAAGATATATCTTAAGTCGTATAACTTCGTATAATGTATGCTGTACGAAGTTATTACGGAGAGAGAGAGAGAGGAGAGAGAGAAGAGAGAGAGAGAGATATATATACATATATATATACACACATATATATATATATAGAGAGAGAGAGAGACAGAGAGAGAGACAGAGAGAGAGAAAGAGAGAGAGAGAAAAACACACGGATAGACAAAAAGAAACAAATAATCTTAGACTAAAACTACTCTTAAGGTTTGTGATATTTTCCAGTTACAAAATCAGTAACTTAAACTGAATGATGGCCAAAATACTTGCTGTAATTACTGTCCATCCTATCATTTGTAATTATGTGTGAAAATTACTTGTCAATGTCACACAATACCCACCTTGATTTTTTGCAGTTGCCTATATATAGGCCTACATGTACTAATTCTTGTAACTTCAGCTTCCCCAGTACATCTCACTCTGGAACAAATTGAGTCATTTAGTTCATAGTCGATACTTGAGTAACCATAAATATTCATAATACACTATCACATGTTAGGAAACAACAATTCATTACTTAATAAACCTGGTGGATTGTTTTAGCTTATCATAATTTTATAGTAATATATGGATGAACTAAATAGATACAGTAATAAATCCATCAGTACATCAAAGATCATTTCCAAGAAATCATGATCCGCAGGTTGGAAGCCAAGAACATTTCTGGTGTAAAGGAGAAACTTCACTGTTAAAAGTGCAGCTAGAAGTAGCTTATGGGTTGATGCAGACTATTGTACTAGAAAAGTAAAAGACCAGTGACTCATCCAGCTTCCAAAGACCAAAATTATTCAATATAAAAAATCATTAATATATAACTGATTTTATTGTTGGGATCAAACAAATATCATAAGGTTAAGACATAGGTATTTGAAACTTATGTAATACAGTCTGACAGTAATAAATATACCATGGCAAACTATGATGAATTGTCTATATAAATAAAGTGAAAAAATGTTTATCTACTAAAGAGGTTTTGACACTGATGATATGAACATATCTCTACTAACACATAATTCAACAAAATATCATGCTTCATCCTGCAAGAAAATACACTTTTTGCTAATCCTATAGCAGCACTAGCCAAAAAGGTATAGTTTAAGTTTTTCACAGCCATGTAGTACAAGGTAAAATTTGCCTGTAATGGACAGAATGACTGAAAATAAGACTTTCCATCTGTGGTACTACCTTCACAAGTTGATAATAAGACAGTTGTGCAACAAGTAATACTTTGCTATGTAGTTACAGGAAAATGTAGTTGAACTATGATAATCAAAGAGAAAAACTACATTCACTAATACATGAAATAACATGTATTTTGGGTCATATGTCGATGCTTGTGGATTCCCCAGGAATGGCAGTATGGATGCACTTGCCAAAAACTAAGTCCCAACTCCACATTACAATATTTACTTATCAATCTAAATTGCTGTGATTGGGAATTACTGTCAGAGGGCAAGATGCAATTGATGGGGGACTCTGCCCCCCATACCCCCCCCCCAAAAGCACTGTCTTCACCTCAGTATGCACGGCAAGACTGAGCTGAAACTCAAGAGCACCAAGGGGATTTAGGCTAAGAGCAGCAATTTCTATAATCCTTTACTATAATTTGAGGCATTACTATTTGTGCCTGCAGATGATTTATTGTACTGACAACTGCAACGTTTTGTCCTCTACAAGAATATCACACAATTTTCCCTAACTTAGTGCACCCATCAGAAGGGTGCCTTCACTTCCAATACGATACCAATACCTTCATCTATATCATTTGAAACGGAATATAACGAGATTGGCCCATATCACAGTGTGAGAAACTGAAAGAACGAACAATAATTGCAGGATTGGATGGTTGTGGGAAGCAAAAAAATTGCCGCCAAAAAGACGTAGATATTCAGATTAACATTTTAGCCTCGCAATTTATCACAAGCATGCAATTACAATAACATCTAATGCTTATATCAGTAACAGTAACCCTGGAGTAATAACCAATTTATTAAAGATTTCTTTATTATCCTGCTACGTACAACAATACTTCTACATACCCCCGTGGCTGCCCCCCTACGACGCCTTTGTTGGTATTTACATCGAATTGTTTACATTTTCAAAAGTGTTCCTGAATGTAAAGAGTCGAAAGAGGATACCTATAAAGTAATTATATTGCATTAGACGCATAACAATCTGTCACACACATACATATATACATATGTATGTATGTAAGTCTGTATGTACATATGTATATGTATATATATGCATATATATATGTATTTATATATATATATATTTGTATATGTATATGTATATATATGCATATATATACATATACATATGCATATACATATACATATACAAATATATATATATGTATATATAAATATACGTAATAACTTCGTATAGCGTACATTATACGAAGTTATACGAGGGATGTCACGCCTTTCGCGACGGTCCTGCATATATATATATACACACAAACCGTAATAACTTCGTATAGCGTACATTATACGAAGTTATACGAGGGATGTCACGCCTTTCGCGACGGTCCTGCATATATATATATACATATGTATGTATGTATATATATATATATAAATATATATATATATACACACACACACACATATACACTCCCACACACACACACACACGCACACACACACACATATACACTCCCACACACACACACACTCACACACACACACACGCACACACACACACATACCCATACACACACACACACACAAACACAAAACCACACACACACACACTCACACACACACACACTCACACACACACACACTCACACACACACACACTCACACACACACACACTCACACACACACACACTCACACACACACACACTCACACACACACACACACGCACACACACACACACTCACACACACACACACACACAAACACACACACATACACATACACACACACACACACGCACACACACACACACGCACACACACACACATACATATATATATTTATGTTTATATGTTTCCGTGTGGATGTATATATGTATATATGTATGTGTGTGTGTGTGTGCGTAATAACTTCGTATAGCGTACATTATACGAAGTTATACGAGGGATGTCACGCCTTTCGCGACGGTCCTGCATATATATATATACATATGTATGTATGAAATTCTGTATATACATATGTATGTATGTACGCATGCATATACGTATGTATGTATGTGTGTGTGTGTGCATATATCTATCTATCTGTCTATCCATATCTATCTATCTATCTCTCTCTCTCTCTTTCTCTCTCTCTCTCTATATATATATATATACACACAAACCGTAATAACTTCGTATAGCATACATTATACAAAGATATACGAAGAGAGAGAGAGAGAGACTTTGGCAAGAGAGAATGAGAGAGAGAGAGAGTAAGGGAGGGAGGGTGGATAGAGAAGAAATGTAGAAAGAGAGAGGGGGTCGGGACT